GAATGACAACCCTATTATATACTAATTAGGCTTGTAGGATTTGGAGTTGTGTTTTTTGGAACTTGATCTAATCTTAGGTCTTTCTGAATCCATTAGCAGCAAAAAGTTAAAAACAAAATTTTACTATAGTTTCATTTGTTTTATTGCTTCAGCTTACCAAGTACTGATATTTCAGCTTCTCTTATAATTCTCCACAATACTCAATAAGTATTATAGTCTCACACTTAATATTTTTTCAAGGCTAAGACAAGTAATAGGTTTATTGCTCCAACTTTAGAAATACTAATAAATACAATGCTTCAAATACCAGTTCATCAAGGTTGTTGTTGTTCAGTTGTTTCAGACTCTTCATGACCCCATTTTGGGTTTTCTTGGCAAAGATACTGAAGTAGTTTGCCATTTCTTTCTCCAGCTCAATTTACAGATGACGAAACTGAGGCAAATAGGGTTAAGTGACTTTCCCAGGGCCACACAGTTAGCATGTGCTAGAGGCCAAATTTGAACTCAGGTCTTCCTGCCTCCAGGTCCAGCACTCTTTCCACTGTTCCACCTAACTGCCCTCATCAAGGTTACAAAAAAAAAATCATCAGAATACAAATCTTTAATACATGTAATTATCATGCTAAGTATAATGATAATAAAAATTGGTTGTGTAAAATAAATGAGAAAGTTATTGTTCTATTAGAATGTAATAGTCATCTTCTAGTGGTCTCTATGGTATTATCTGTTCCTAGGTTTACTTTGCTCTATTATTCCAATTTTAAATGAAATGGATTTTTAAACTATCTTGTCACATTGCTATTTTTAAAATTCCTCTTTTTTTGAATTCTCAAAGTAAAATTAAGCAATTTAGAACTTAATGACCCTTAATTTAAATTCTGTCTGCCTCAGTTTCCTCACCTGTAAAATGAAGATAACAATAGCACCTAATTTCTAGGGTTCCTGTCAGGAAAAATGAGATAATATTTGTAAATTACTTTACACACATTAAAACATGATATAAGTGATAGTTATTCTTTCACAGACCTGGAAAATGAAAGAGATTCACTAGAGGAGCAAAAGTGAAAAGTTGTACTATTACAGAGAGCTGCCTTGAAAAAGTATACCTATTATAATTGCCTCCATGTCCTCCTCTCTGTCAATATATTGTTGTGACTAGAAAGGAGAACTATGGAATGGGGTAAGGATAATCTCACTTTGTTGGAAGATGATTAAATTGGTTTCTTCGAAACATTCTCTACATAGTTAACTTTCATCTTCCCAGAATGTTAGGTAACCAAACATCTTATTTAGGTTTTTAAAAGGAACATTACCTAGCCTTGCCAAGATGAAAAAGCATCCAGTGACTGCTGACTATTTTTTTTTTTGCACAGCTCCAGCCATCAATATTTTAGAATGTAATCATTAAACATAACAAAAGCAATTCATTCCCATAGAATGGATTCCAACAAAAGAATCCTATTTATACTCATAATAGGCAGAACTCAACCCTTTTTCTCATGTTATGTATTATCTTTCAATAACTAGGCACCTACCTCTTTTATTGAACAAGAGCCAGCCTCAATTTTTTTATTTTTAAAAATTCCTATTCTCTAATGCATAAGTACTCAAAAGATATAACCAGGCAGTTCTCAAGGGAAATCCAAAAACCATATGAAAAAATGCTCCAAATAACTAACTACATTAGAAATGCAAATTGAAACAAACCATCAGATTGAAAGAAGACAGCAAAAAAGGAAGATGAGAATTGATGGAAGAATTATGGAAGAGCAGGCACAGGAATGCTTTATTGATGGAACTGTGAACTGGTCTCATAATTCTGGAAAGCAATTTGGAATTACAGCCAAAAAGTCACTAAACTGTACATACCCTTTGACTCAGTGATAACACTATTAGGTAATTTCCCCAAAGAGACCAAAGAAAGAGGGAGAGGGCCCACATGTACAAAAATATACATAGCAGCATAGCAAAGAACTGGAAACTTAAGGGGTGCCCATCAATTAAATAATGATTTATGGTATGAATAATTTATGGTATGATATGATAGATATAAATAGACTACAATAAATAGCTACGATAGATATGATGATAGAACAAAACTGAACAATGACAAAAGGATGAATTCAGAAAAACCTAGAAAGGCTTATTTGAACTGATGAAGAATGAAGTGAGCAAAACTAGGAGAAAAAGTTACACAGTAACCGTACTGTAAAGAAAATCATGTTTGAAGGACTTAAGAACTCTAACCAAAGCAATGACCAACCATGAATCCAGAGGACCAATGTATAATAAATCATGATACCTGTCTCTTAAAAGAGCTGATGGACCCAACGTGCAGAATGAGACATACATTTTTAAGCATAGTAAATATATATCATTGCTTTGATTAACAATATCTATTTGTTAGAAGGATTGTGTTTTTCTTTTCTTTTTTACTTTGGGTGAGGGAGGAGATTTTGGGGGAAGGGAGAAGCTAAATATAGTGTCACCAAAATGAAAAAGAGAAGAAAAGAGGGTCATTGAATCCTTTTTAAATGTAGAGAACAGAAGAAAGTCTAGAAGGAAACACAGATAAGCAGGACAACTTTGAAAGTAATATTATATACTTTTTTTTAAAGAAAGCTGTATGAAATAGAGATTTGCTCTTTCACAAGTATAATCCATTTTTATGTTCTTTGTATATAGAAATGCTCATGTTTGTTGGTGATTATCAAGTTCAAAATAACAAAAACAAAAAAGTATAATAAATTATATTATTATAGTGAATTCGGCGGTAAATTAAAAAGTGAAAAATCTAGTTACATGGTCAGGGGGCCTAATATGCTTCTAGAAAAAACTTTTACCACTGTTGGTGAAGCTACTTAATGGCTGTTATAGGTGGCACCACAAGGACCTTCCTATGTGGCTTGCAGGTTTCATCATTAAAATCTCTGAGTTAGACTGAATAGGCTATAGTTAGATAGGCATGGCATTACTTTCATAAGGCCATTGTGTCTGTCTATCTGTATGTATGTATGTATGTATGTATATGTGTATATGCATGTATGTATGTGTTACCTAAAAGGTAAAAAAAAAAATTTAGTTCCTTAATGAAAGGACACCACCCATGCATGGGCACAGATTTGCTTTTCAGATTAGCTAGTTGCCTCCTTGGAAATATGAGAGCCAGGCTCCATGAGGGTAGACTACCCATGGAGGGTGGGCAAATTATGACAGGAATTGGGAAGCTTAAGGGAATAGAACACTGCCATAAATCCCTCAGGACTGACAGGAATGGATTTTTTATTCCTCTTCCTCCTCCTCCTCCTCCTCCTTTTCTTCCCCTTCTTGCTCCTCCTCTTCCTCCTCCTTCCTTCAATACATATGATCCCTCTCTCCACTTGAGGTGTCATATCCTTACATGTGGGTGCTCTGTCCATTGGAATATAATTTTTGGTCGCTTATATTTTGTAATATATTTTGGGATTTGGGGGCTAGATTTTTTTATTTCTGTTTTAATTAATTTATTATTTATTATTATTTGTTTTTATTATTCTTTTCTTCAAAAGATTGGGACAGTTTACTTTTTGTCTTGTGTAGTTATCATTTATGAATTTCTTGAAATATAGCTCTGAAAAAAACAGGCTTTAAAATAGCCCATTATGTTTCAAATGGAGCTACTGGACTATGCCTTTCAACCCAAATCACTCTGGCTTTTATTGACTGACTGGTAATAGCTCCCAGCCCAAGGGTCTGTGGCTAATTGTTTAGGTTTCGATGGTTTAGAATGAGTGTAAATAGCAATTTTTTTCTGTTCTGGCCAGAAACTTTGAGCGTCTTCCCCTCCCAATTGATATTTTTGAGATGATAAATTAGGCCATCTTTTGTCCAATTCTTACCTAGACCTTAGTCACTAAATGAGCATTGTCTCAGACAAACTGAGCCTTGGGAAAGACCTTAATTTAGAAAGGTGAAAGTCTTTCTACTGCCTTCTAGGCCATCACCAGTCATCTTGACTTTTGTCTTGCCACTGAACTTTGATGAGTCTGGAGGAGAGAGTGAGGCTGATGACTTTGCACAATTATGTCTCATTTCTTGTTGTTGCTGTTTGTCCTTTGTTCTCAAAGAGGACCAATAACAACAAGAATATGATGTCTTGACTTGCAACTGAATTGGATTTAAGTGAGGCAGGGCTGTGCAAAGTCATCAGCCTCACTCTGTCCTCCAGGGACATCTGGGTCCAGTGTCAAGACATAGATCAGGATGACTGGAGATGGCCCTGGATGCAGTGGAAGACCTTGGCCTTTTCAAGCTAAAGTCTTTCCCAGGTCTCAGTTTGTCTGAGGCAACACCCATTCAATGGTTAAGGCTAGGTTAAAAAAAATTCATAAGCAAGGCAATGTGATGTCTTTGATCCTCTTCACGAATGAAGGATGAACAATAGCAACAAAATAACTGCAGATAGAAGGCTTGGAGGAGACACAGTAGCTGACTTCAATGATCTGAAGAATGATCTGTCAAATGGAAGGAGATTTATTCCATTCTGCTTGGCTCCAGATGGTAGAAATAGGAGCAACGGATCGCAAAACATAGATTTTTGGCTCAATATAAAGAGAAACTTCTGAATAACCAGAGTTAACCCAAAAGAGGAATGATCTGTCTCAGAGGGCAAGGAGTTCATGGAGGTCTTCAAGTAGAGACCAAATGACCACCTGTTGGAGAAAGGGTGAATTAGGTTGGACTAGAAGCCTTCTCATGTCCCTTCTAACTGAAATTCTGTGGGAAATAAAATCAGTGTGTTAAGAAGATATGTCTAGGGGCAGCTAGCTGGCGCAGTGGATAGAGCACCAGACCTGGAATCGGGAGGACCTGAGTTCAAATCTAGCCTCAGACCAAAACACTTGACACTTACTAGCTGTGTGACCCTGAACAAGTCACTTAACCCCAATTGCCTAAAGTTAAAAATTTAAAAAAAGATATGTCTATATCTAACAATTATTTGTGCTTATTTTTTTTTCCAGTGAATGTTGTGTCAATGCTACAGGAATTTTGGGAAAGCAAACAGCAGCAGAAAGCTGTGTTCCCAAGTGAAGGTTTGGTGGTATATGAGTCATTGCCATCTCCTGGGCCTCCATTTGTGAGTTACGTCACCCTCCCTGGAGGAAGCTGTTTTGGTAACTTCCAGGTAAGAAGTGCTAATCTATTTGTCAACAAGAGACATTTCCATCATGAATAGAGTAGGACCCTCTGTAACACTGAGATCAGAAGACAAGGATATTAACAATATTACAGTCTTTCTATGTAATAAAATGAAAATTATGTGCTATACTTTTTACACTGGAGGTGTGAGAAGCAGTGTGATGGGTAGTAGATGGAATATAAACTTATTCAAGTCTTACCTCCACCATTTGCTAGCTATGTGACCATTGGCATGTGTCAACCTTCCTGAGCCTTGATTCTCTTATCTGTAAGATGGGAATAATTACATCTACCTCATGGAGTTGTTGTGAGGTTAAAATGAGATAATGTACGTAAACTACTCAGCAAACCTTAAAGCATTATATAGTGTCAGTGATCTGAAGCAGGAAGGGACCTAATGGACCATCAAGTCGATCTCTCTCATTTAATAATGAGGAAACTGAGGCCCAGGGAAGTTGTGACTTGCCTACAGGTAGAAAACATCAGAGGCAGCATTGGAACCCATATCCTCTGACTCCAGGCCAATGCTCTTTCTACTATATTGCCTTGCCTCCTATAGCTTTCTACTGTATTGTCTTGCCTCATATAACTATTTGCTCTTATTTAACCTACATTATAATCCAATCTGTATGGCAGCTAGGTGGCAAAGTGGATAGAGCACTGGGCCTGGAGTCAGGAAGATCTGAGTTCAAATTGGCCTCAGACTCTTACTAGCTGTGTGACCCTGGGCAAGTCACTTAACCCTGTTTGCCTCAGTTTCCTCATCTGTAAAATGAGCTAGAGAAGGAAATGGCAAACCACTCCAGTATCTTTGCCAGGAAGGCCTAAATGGGGTCACAAAGAGTCAGATACAACTGAAACAACTGACCAGCAGAATAGCATGTAGTACTTTACATAGATTATCCATCAGTAAGTATTTGAATCTTACACTGTTCTAGGCACAAAAGAATGATAAAACATGATGTCTACTCTTAAAGAGCTGACATGCTGTGTTCAACGTTATAATCAACAATGAAACAACAAAGTAGTGTGTATCAAGATTTCAGAGGCCACAAAGCTGGGAAGCATCACTAACATGCGAGATGATAGAATCAAGATTCGAAAAGATATTAATAGGTTGGAATGCTGGATCAATACCAACAAGACAAAATTGGAGAAAGACAAATGTGTGTAACCTTGCATTAGCCAAAGACCAGGGCCTATGCTTCCTAACTTCCTCTTCAAGCTCGTTTCACTCCATAAGGTTGCCAGTCCTTGCAATTCTGCCTCTTAAGATATTGAGTATTAATGTTAAGTGTGGTTAAAAATAGGAAACTAGAAGAATTGTCATATTTAATTAAGAACCAAAAAACTAAACTATTAGTGACTCTTCCCCCTCTCCCACCCCAGCTTGAGGTCATCGGTAGAAAGAGGTAATCAGAAGAGGATAGACAGGATGGTGATCACAGAAACCCATAGTTCCTAGAATTCTGGAACAATGTCCTCTGAAAAAATGACTCCTAAAACTGATAGAGATAGTAGAAATAAAGACTAATGGGAGACACAACAGTTGTATTCAGATATCTGAATATCTGTCAGTTGGAAGACTTTCCCTATAGGTTCAGAGAGCAGAACAAGGAAGTTACAAGGGCAGGTTTTGGTTCAATATGAAAAAGATTTTTTCTAACAGTTAGTCCTGGAAGGGGATTCCCATTATTTTTGAGCTCCCTATCACTGGAAATGTTCAAACAGATCCTCAAGGATACAAAGGGGATTCAAGCATATTATAGAGGGAATTTCTAATTTTTAGTAGAAAATGAACTGTTAGGTAACTTCTAGTTTTAAAAGTCTGATTTAATGACACAACAGTCAATGATACCAAGTAATACATATAAGTTTTGAATTGTTGAGTACAGACAATTTCCATTGCTATAGGCGGGTGCAGAGGAGGAGATGAAAGCTGTAAAGTAAATCTTGATGCCTAGATGGCGGCTAGGTGGGGCAGTGGATGGAGAACCAGGCCAGAAAGACTCATTTACCTGAGTTCCAATGTGGCTTCAGACACTTATTAGCTGTGTGACCCTGGGCAAGTCACTTCACCACCCTGTTTACCTCAGTGTCCTCATCTGTAAAATGAGCTAGAGAAGGAAATGGCAAGCCACTCCAGTATCTTTGCCAAGAAGACTACAAATTGGGTCATGAAAAGTTAGACACAACTGAAATGACTCAATAACAAACCTTGATGGGCATAAAAATATTGAGTCTGGATAGGGAAAGAGGAAAAGAGGTTAGCCACACCATGTTTTTAATCATAAGCTATCTTACTCTGCTCCCCCAGCACCATTCTCTGAGAATGCAAATCTATGGTATGGTTTCCGCTGAGTTATGAAGTTATAAAGAAAAATCTACTGCCCCCCGCAAAAAAATTTGCAGCCCACAACCAAATAGAAGTGCCTTAAAAGCCCATGTGGATTCATCTATAAATGAAGATAGATAATCAAGAGTTTAGTGTCTAGATATTTCATATAGCAATTATTTCTCTCCACAAATGAGGAGGAAAAGGTAAAATTCAAATATATGAACTTTGTTACACAGCTGTTAGCAGCTGTGATTGAAGAGGCTGAAAACATTGCCTACAGGATAGTTTATGGTTCTCTATGGATTTTATTTATCCATACTTACCTTGTCTCCCACGATCATTTATAAGCAAAAGTTGACCGCAAAAGATACACATATTAAGTAAAATATAGGTATATACATATTATGTGCATAAACATCTGTTCATATAAAATGAATACACATTGTTACACTACCATTTGTCATGAATATCGAACACATTTGACAGCTCAACACCATGTTTTTGAGTGTATTTAAGGGAATATTCCACCTACTTTTATTTTGCTAGTTTGAGAATCACCAATCATCCCCGAAATCCTATAAATATCTCTGCAAAAATGATAGGGTCTCCCTTGGGAAGTAATTGAATGTCCTTGTCATGGTCTTATATGACTTTTTTGAAGAACATGAACTAAACTCTTCTGAGGGGAGGTCTGTTTGTGAGTCCCAAGATTATTTCAGAGTCTTGTTTTCCATATGTTTAAATCATCTTATCATAAAGTTCTCAGGAGGACCATTAACATCCTTACTTAAAATGTCCAGAGTTTTGTGAATCTAAGATACTTCAAGCATTGACTTTTAACTGCCCAAATGAGTCATTTTACCTACTTGGCAGCAGAAATATGAGGTAGAAAAGGAAAACAGAGAAATCATCTTCTAAAGCTTTGCTGTCATTCTTTTCTTTGTGTATCAGAAACCATCTTAAATGCCATTATCACCATATAACATTTCATCATATTTTTGCCAGCAGTTGGACTCTAACAACCTACATTCTCATTCCTACAATGCTTGTCACATAATCAAATGTCACCCCTATGCATTGCACAGCATTTTATGATGGCTTCTTAATTTTTATACTGAAACATGCAGGAACCAGTATGTATGGTAGCAGTTGTCTTACTTGGTCTCAGATATCCCCTCCATTAGTTCAAATAAGCCAAAGTGATTCTACTGGAGGGATGAATATTAGAATGGATATTGGGATTAATCCCTCTCTTTCTCAAGCAGTTGCTTAAAAGCTGTGAGAAATTCTGTCCATTCACTCTTTAGGGAAAGGGTATGAGAGCTGAGCAGATGGGCTTTAGTCTTGAAACTAATCTGAGTAAAGCAGTCAAAAGACTAGAATGAACCAAAACACTCTGGTTCTTATACAAGGAAATTTTGCACCCAAATGTAAATTGTAGATGTATGCAAAGATTAATTAACTACCCCTCCACCCCTCCACCCCTCCACTCGCCCCCAAAAACTGGAAAGACAAAGACACATCAAGCCTTCTATTTAGCCATGTTATTGAATCATATGCTCCCAGAACTCATTATAGCAAGAGGAAAAAGTGAATAATTCTCCTTTTTAAAAATTTCCCTATTGATTCAGAAGAATTAAAAACAAAATCTTTACAGATCTAAGATACAAACTTGTATTTTAAAAAAAAATCCATTCCCTGATATTAAAGATCTTAAGCAGAAATTCCTGCATTTGCTTCATGCCATTTTTGTCTGGGCAGCTAATTCCTGCCTGCTCCCTCACCCCCACTCTCATCCTGACCACATACCATGACCATGAAAACTGTACAGTAATTTCCATTTACTACAAAAAGACTAACATAAGGGCCATCAGATCAGCTTCTGGCTCCCCTCTTGCTGAACTCAGAAGTAAAGCCGTTCATTGTTCCTGCAGATGTTTTTGTTTTCAGTACCAAAGGGAATGTCATTAAGTATTTTATCTTCATTTTTTGAAACCTTTATATTTTGATTAAAAGTTCTGCAATTCAACCTTTATTTTCAGAGCAGTGGCCTGGTATTCTGCAAGTAAGTCTGCTGGGGTGATTTAGATGAATGAATTTTACTTTTGTTTAGGGAAAACAGCAAAAACTCCCTTGAGTAATTATTAGTAGGTACAATGTATATAAGCAAAGCATAATATAAATTTGAATTAATAAGTTCATCCTGCGACTATAACTCAGAATTATAGCAATAGCTGAATTTATGTGAAAAGCATGGGGTGCTTATTCATTGAGGCATTATAGTTACTGGCAAAAGTTAGAGCCTCCTTTGCTTTCTAGGAAACAAATACATGACAAATAGCTTTGGTGCTGACAAGTTAGGCAGAGCTCACATGATGTGCCAATTTTCAGACTAGTAGAACTAGGAAGGACTTTTAAGATCCTCTGTTCCAACCACCTCATTTTACAAATGAAGAAACTGAGACCCGGTGGGGAAGGGTCACATTCCCAGGAACTTGCAGAATTAGTAATTCAATCTAAAACAGGGGTCACCAGATGCTTCTCTCTTTCCAGCACACCATGCCATTCAATACTTCAGTGGATCTGTAATCTCCTGGGTGTGTGTATTTCTTCTGACAAGACAGATCACAAACTTTCCATGCCTCATT